TTTATTTCTCATGGCCTTTTTCAAGCATCTTCTAACTAGCTCTTCTTTTCCATAGTCCAGTGGACTGTGGAAAATGAAGGCTTGATATCATGTACTGAAATCAGTGCAATGGGGAAGGCTGTTAAAATTTTTCAGTATTAAACCGTAGACCCTTGTCAGTGCCCTTAGCCATAGGTACACTCTGTCCTTGCAAAAAGTACATTGATCTGCAAGATAAGTTGCCTTGCCAATGGATCACGTAAGAAGGCTACCTTGGGATACAAGTGAGTAATAATCCGAAGGCAGTAATTTCCTTTCAAGTCCTAACTGACTGCCATAATAATGCAAATTTCTTTAGACATGTCAGCAGTTTCCGTTTTTGTATTTCTGTCATTTGAATTTGTGCTTCCCATCTGTTACATGGAAGAAACCCATTCCTTCTATTCATACACTGGATGAAATTTTATTTTGAATAACGTTGCTGTAATTCTGGATTGAATAAGTTTAAAGAAATGTAATTACTCCAGCTTAGACACTTAAGAACCAGGAAAGAATTTGGATTTATGTTTCAGGAGGGCCTGAGATAGCTCTTACCCTGGTTCTGTATTGATACCACATGGGAGTCAAATTCTGAGTATTTTCTCTGATTTGCTCCAGCTCTTAATTTTCCCTATAGACAGTCATACAGATATCATGAAGTTTGGAGCCAAATGATCCCTATTGATCTAGGTAGCTTGTCAATGTACAGGATGCTCTGAAACTCATGAGATTTTCTCTATATATCAGCAACCGTGACTAGCTTGTCAGACTGATGTGCCCTTCTATATTTTTCTCTCATCATGTCTTTAAAACACACTTCAAAATATTAAAAGCTGAATTTTCAGCTTAGTTTGGGCCTCTCCATGAACACTCTGTTTTATGACTCTCTTGCAGAATATTAGTTTGTAGCGCTGATAAATGGCCTTTTTTGTTTGAAAGGAGCGCAATGTATTTGGACTGAAAAGCCATTTATCACACTTCCACTCTTTTTTTTCTTTCCTGCTGGCAAGGTGCATGTAGCAATTAAGCATTTTACAAGTAAATTACCAGTGTAGTATATGCCAAAGAAAAGTATCTGTCTAGAGCTTTGGCTTGATTTTCTGAAGACAGTAAAGTGTGCCTCTCCAAATTGTCTTTAAAGATTGTAGTAAAAGGTTTATGATCTGTATCTGCTAGCATGGGTGACTCATAATAAATGCACTCCAAAGGTGTAGTGCCATGTCCAGCACTGATTGCTCCAGCAAATGAGTACTCCTCTTCACTGGAGTCATTTGTAATCATACAACAGCTTGACTTTCTGTCTGGAAAGGCACCGTTTTGTCAAACTGGTTTATGCCACTACATCTCTCATAGCATTTTCAGAGACTATGACAGCTGTTGGTTTCATATTTACTCCCACACTTTTCTGCACTTTAAACAAATGCTGCTTCTCTTCCTTACTCTGAATGTTCTAGATACTGTTGAAGCTTTCTTTCATTGTTTTTTTTTTTTTAAAACAAGAAAAGCAACTAAAATAGTAATGCATATTATGAACACACAAATTATTTTCTTTCTTTATATACAGATTTAACAGTTTTTACTTCTTGTATGCTTTAACAGCTCCTCCGTCTGCTATTCTACCTCAGAGGTTATACTCGTTTTGCTGGGCTACTCTTCCAATTAGTTTTCCTTGTCTTACTGAGAAGTTATGACCAAATCGTGATGTTGGCTTTATGTGTGGTATGCAGATTGCCTCCAGTAGTTTTTAGCAGACATTCTGCTTGCAAAGAAGCAGAAATGTCAGGATCTTGTGCATCATGGATTACAATTCTGATCCTCTAAGAGGAAAGATACAACACTCTATAGAGTTCCTCAGCCTGAAGAAATGACTCAGGAGAGAGATTATATATGTAAAAACCTGAATGCAGGAAAAAAGTGAATAGAGAGTGAACACAAAAGCTGCATGAAATTATTTGGTAGGATGGTTTAAAGAAAAAAGGAAAATTACACAATGCAGAAGTAAGCTCTGGAACTCATTGGCACATGATGTTGATATCAGAATTGTAAATGAATTCAAAAAGCAATTGCACATATTAATGGAAGAAATATTCTCAGGGACTATTAATAGCCTGGATTTCTAAAGGCAGATAAGAATTCAGCTTGGAGCAGAAGCAGCAGCTAGCAATTGCAAGGGCAATTGGCATTTTTGGAAAAGCTTCTCTGCTTCTGGTGCTGTAGAAGGGCAAAGTATTTTTGTGTGTGCAGATGTCACTGCTTCTGGGGTGGGCAAGGGGTGAGCTGTTGAGGTGAACTTACACACACACACACGCAAGTGTAACGCTTTATGCTCTTTAAGCAATCAAGGGAAATTAATTCCAACTGCTCTCTCTGAAACTCAGTTTTCTACTTCAATCCATACATGTTGGATAAATTCTGCACTCATTTTCAGCTTCTGCAGAATGTTGCAAGTTTTGTCTTACCAAAATGATGAATCTCTCGTCTTTTAGTTCTCACATGAGCCTCACACTTATCCTGTTTGATCTAACGCCTCTTATTTCCTGAGAGAGACTTTGCTACACTACCTTACCTTTACAACCTTGTTTGCCCTCTGAGTTATTTATGGACAGTGAGTGAACCTCCATATAGACTGTGCTGTTAAACCTGCCTAGTATGTGGAAGATTACTTTAAGACTTTGTAATTTTTGTGCAGTTTAAAAAAGCTTCTTATCTCTGCTTGTCTCTGCTTTAACTGTTACCTGTAGATCCGTTAAGGATGTTAAAGTGATATCAGATCTCAGCAGATAATGAAGTGACAGTCCAATTCCTGTTATCCTGTTGGTTCTTATGTGTTTGAGTTCTGCATATTTTAATTTATTTACAGTGAGCTCCAGGCAACTACTCTATCACGATGTTTGTCTTTGTTGTGGACTGATAAGATCAGCACAAACTCCAGTTACGCTATTCCTAATGAGAGAATATTTCTGTTTGAACACCAAGACTTGTTTCTGAGTTATTTAAGGCAACATAAAATAAATATTCTGAACATATTAATTTATTATTTTGATTGCAAGGATTAATATTCTCAATAAGGATCTGAATAGAAAATAAAAGAATGTCAGTGTTGGGTTTTTTTAATTTGATTTATTTTTTACTATTATTTCTATAGTTTAAGGTCATTTAGTTTCCTGAAAACTGACTTTTGACTGAAAGCATTCTGCGTGCCAATTATCCCCAGTAACTCAAACAATTTGCCAGCAGTACATCCCTGTCTTTCCCAAGACCTTTCTATTGTGATAAACAGACATGAATGGTAGTGAGGATAGGACAAGTTTCGTGACGGCCTTGAAAACTGTTATTTAAGCATGTATTTTCTCCATTCAGAAGGTATTCAGTAAGTGCCCGTAGAGTGTGCTCATATTACCAGGGACAGGCTGGCAACAAATCTGTAGGCATATTTGGGTGCAGATGATCAAGAAAAAAACTGGAGATCAGAGAAAGGCCACACTCTGCTGGTGAAAGAAAGTGAAAGATCCTGCAACTTCAGTAAAGTCATTCCATATTTCACCAGATTAGCATTGTTTTAGTTCTAACCATATCATTTCCACTGGGTTATTTTTATTTCTTGCCATTAAGGGCTTTTTCTGATGTTTCCATTCTCTCTGAAAAATTTTCCTCAGCTTGAATTTCTTCCATGAATTACATCACTATTACAAGCTTTGCTTGGTGTCAGAGGCTCTTTTGCAATCAAGGAGAGTGCTAGCCAGCACTGTACAGACTGTACCACAGACTTGCATCAAACACTGTAACTCAGTCAACCCCTGCAGTTCGAGTTTTCATTGTTAATTCAGAAAAGGGAGAACTACTCTGGGTTCTTCTAAATGAAAAAAGAAATAGTATTTTCCACTTGTATCATGTCATGACCTGAGGAAAATTGTCCATGTATTTTACAGGTTTTATCCTCAGCTCTTCTGCTCAAAATGCTCTCCTAAATATTTCTGTTACTGGTGACTTTCTTATTGCTAGCTGGTGTCTTCTGTAGAAGGTGCAGATTATTGTTTAAAAATTGAGTTCATGTTCTACTTTCACAAATTGTGGGTTGATCCTGAAAAGATCAGACACTATTGTTCTGTAACTACTGTCAATTTTACCAAAGCGACCTTCTGTCTCTGAATAGAATGATTTTATTTTTGCTGAGGAAAATCTATGTAAGATTTTGAATGGAAAACCTTACAAATTATCTAAAAAAAATGGACTTTCTGGTATAGTGATCGCAACTGAACTGTAAGCCACTACAGCTCTACAGCTACTCCATATTTGCAATAAACTTTTTTGACACTTTAAATTAACAACTACTTACACAGGTAAAAAAACATTTTTTTGACTGAATATTTGTAATATAAATAGATTACACTTTAAAAAAATAGAGTTACAAAAATATCTGTATCAAGCATGAAATCCAAGGGGTGAAACTTATTTTCTGCCATGTTATAGTATAGCATTATAATTAATTACACCATAACTGTCTATTCCTATCATCTTATCTCTCCATGCTATGAATGCTACTGAATAAATGTAATTGAAATGTCAGACTTCACACAGATTTGTGATATAATGTATATCAGAACTAATTTCATAACTCATTATATCAATCATCAATACAGTAGAAGTACTTATTCAAAAAGAACTCTACATCAGCCAGAAGAGATGGATAAAATTCCTCCTTGTGTTTGAGTCTACATAGCCAATTAAATAGAAGGGAGGTCTGTTTTAAAGATTATTTGTTTACATATAGTATCTTTTAATCATCTTATTTTGTGAAGTACTTGTCTCAAATATAAGAATTATGGTGACTGATGATTTGCTTTGGCAAACAGAAGATTTGTGGTTAAATTTTAAAGAAGTGACCCAAAGAATGTTGCTCTTATCTGTCACATCTCTAAAAGTACTGAGTCTGGAGTAAAGATTTACACGTGAAGTCAATGTTTTCTTCTATATAATTTCAGAATTTCTGTGTAGACACCAAGAAGAAATTGTGCTCAAATCAAGACGCTGATGTTTTTGTTAGTTGCCAGAATGATTTGGTGCATCGTGACAATGAGAAGGACGTGACTGGGGAAGCAACATTAGTGGAAAACCGTGTGATTAAAGGTTAGTTAAGACTTATGATTTGAGTTATGTTTTAGCAAAGCTTAACTCCTGCCTTGATAAATAACTTATATGCAGCATTTTCTTGTGTGATTTTCATTTGGAATCTGTGCTTCAGTCAAAAGTGATGAACATTTCTGCTCCTTCTCCATAAATGCCGTAAGGCAAATTCATCCAAGCTCTCAACAGCAGCATGGTATTAAACTCCGTTTGACACTGAAACATGAATATTCAGTAGTTTTTAGAAACAGACTTGTGTGGAAATATGCACTTTGTTTTTCCTTAAGAATCTATACATCTTCTGCTACTAAAAAAAAAATAATAATAAAAATTAATTCCGACAGATATATTAAGGATAAGCAAGCCATTTATATTAAACATTTGAGGATGTCTTCAACTTTTTTATTTATTTTGAAGAAAAAAGAGCATTGAGCAAATTACTTGACTATTAATTGTTTTTAAGGACACCATTTGCGATAACTGGTTAGGCTTTCTACTTCTTTTTTAACTTTTCACTTTGTCAGAACATATTCAAGTAGAGAAGCCAGATGATATGAGGACAAATCCTTAAGACTTTGAAGCAAAAATAAAAAACTCAGTTGGTTTCATTAGTTATATTTCAAAAATGAATACATTACATTAATTATAACACCAGCACATTTGGAAGGCTAAAGCACAAATACTCATCCCCACAGCATTTGTTTACTGATAATTGATGTCATTATAAGAAATTCCCATAAAATCTCCTCTTTTCTGTCTTCTCATTCAGTGTGCCAATCTCCTAAAAAAGACTGCTTATCTGAAACTATGCAAATGCAACATAAACAACCTTTATATTTAAAAATTACTGTAGTGTATTGAATATTCAATGATCTGTACTGCTGTGGAGGTTGATTGTTTGGGAACAATTTTTCTAACAGTGTTTAGGTTTGCAGCAAGCTGCTTTGGAAGATAATCTCATATTTGTTATATGGTGGCTTTGAAAAGTCTCCCTGTAGGTTCCATTTTGTTACAACTTAATGATCTGATGATATTTTATAGTGGTAAATGGTGAAGCTTCCAGGCTGGCAGCTGTAGAGAACAGCATTCTCTGTTTAAACCCCGGGACAACATTGTTAACAAGATGAGTTAATGATGAACTCTCTTGTGCCAAGGGAACTACCTGCACATGACTGGGGCTTGACTTTGACAACTGATGTCCATGCTGCAGGGAGCAATTGAATCACCACCATGGGTGATTCAGTCCCTGTGAGGTAGGGCAAGTGTGAGTGAGGTGTTCATGGTTAAACGGGACCTTCTATTCTACTCCATTGCAACAAGGAGATTTCCCAGCCCCTTTCTAAATCACAGTTAGGGGTACAAGTTCTATAAATGTAGTGCTCAGGTGTTCAATATTTTCAATCATAAAGACAAACTTGGAGACTATTTGCAGCTGTTCCTGTTTTGGAGCTTTTACTTACTGTGATTCAGAAGCATAGCAAAACAAGGCATCATTGCTAAGTGCCATCTGCCCTAGGTACGGTCTGCCTGCTTTCTCACTCTTTATTCATTCTGAGTTAGTAAAATTACTCTTTTGTCCATCCTACTAAGTCTTATTTGTCCTCGATCAGCTTCTAGAATCTCCAGAACTTCACCATTTTTACGTTATGTAGTTCTATTTTTCTTTGCCATTTGAGAGCAAGATGTGAGGAGTGGCTGAGGTCCCTTGGCTTGTTCAGCCCAGAGAAGAGGAAGGTAAGGGGAGGCCTCATGGTGGCATACAGCTCCTCACAGGGAGATGAGGAGCAGCATTGAGTTCTGCACTCTGATGACTGTGACAGGACCAAAAAAACAGCATGGAGCTGTGTCAGGTAAGGGTCAGGCTGGGGGTTAGGGAAAGGTTCTGCACCAGAGAGAAATGGGCATGGAACAGGCTATGCAGAGCTGTAGTCACAGCCCCAATGCTGGAGTTCGAGGAGCTTTTGGACACCACCCTCAGGCACATGATTTGAATTTTGGATGGTCCTGTATGCAGCCAAGAGTTGGAGCTGATGACACATGCAGGTCCCTTCCAACTCCAGATTCTCTACGATAGGAAAGTTTTCTCGTAACCCTTTTCTAATTTTATTATTATTTTTTAAAATTATCTTCTGTTCAGTGTTCTCCCATTAAGATCCTAACAATTATTTTGTTGTCCTTTCTCTGAAATCTGATTTTTCACATCTTACGCTTAATTTTATAGTTCTTCCTGATTCCAGAAAAAAATTTTCTTTCAAATTTCAGATATCAGTCAGGCTCTTTTGCTTCTTCTGCCCATTTCCTATCTCAGGTTTTATTCCTATCCATTTCCCCAAGCTTATGGCTAGAGACGTATGCTTTGTAAATAGTTCTAGTTGTACGCCCAAGTACATTAAAGAAAAAATTGAAGTTAGAGCTGCTGAAGACTTTCTTGCTCCTGCTCCTGTAAAGATTTGCAGCGCTAATTCCTTCCACTTAGTCCAGTTCTAAGCCATGTTTCTGATTTCAATCATATCTCTCTTTCCTTATTCCTCATGAATGCTGCAGTTAAATCTGAGCTCATTGTACATAGACTGTTAGGTGAGATCTAAGTTCAGGTAAAGACTAACCTATGTCACTGAGGATTTTCAAACAAAACAATCATAGAATCATAGAATCATAGAATGGCTTGGGTTGGAAGGGACGTCAAAGATCATCAAGTTCCAAGCCCCTGCTACGAGCAGGGCCACCAACCTCTAGATCCGGTACTAGACCAGGTTGCCCAAGGCCCCATCTAATCTGGCCTTGAGCAGCTCCAGGGATGGAGCATCCACAGCCTCTCTGGGCAGCCTGTTCCAGCACCTTACCACCCTCACCACCTTAAAGAACTGCTCCTTGACATCCAATTTCAATCTTCCTTCCTTGAGCTTAAGATCATTCCCCACTGTCCTATCAAATCCTCAGTACCTCTGTTTAGCACACACAGAAAATCAAGAAACAATATCATAAAGCTTTTTCTGCAAGACTACAAAGCCTCTCTTGTTTAACTGCCTTGGAGGATATCCCTGAACAATTTTTGCATAACTTTGAGTATACTGTGAATTAAAAGTTGGAGACAGGTAAATCTAATAACATAGAACAAAGAGTGATGATAGATGGTACACTGGCACACCCAGATCAAAGCTGAAGGTTTTTTTCAAAGCTGTGTGTTAGTGAAGTCCAAATTATTGAGCTTAATTTAAAGTTAACTGCAAAATTACAGAGGAGATTTGATTAGAAAATAAAGCAGTTCTTCCTGGCCAGTCAAGGGATCCCCAGGAGCCCACTGTTGCGTGCAGCACTGTTCCAGAGTGTATTCTGCTCTGTTAATTCAGAGGATAATAGATTAGAAAATATGTCAAGACTAACAACACAGAGACACTGCTGTGGGTTTTGAGTGGGAGGAAATGTACCATTCACTGACTAATCTTTAAACTTCTACTTGTGAATGTTAAGCCAACTTCCAAAGCACCAAGCCATTTCAAATTCCTAATACGGATATTGAATCCATGCTGTCTGTCTCTCTCAGAAAAACAAAACAAAATAAAAACAGTTACAGACAAAACTGCCATTTCTTATCAAAGGCTAGGTTGTTCTGAGGAGAAAGGCAACATGGTTCTCTTTCAGTGTTAACGCCTCTATTGTTTCCTTGCAGAGTTCATATTTGTAAAGGTAGTATTTATTATCTTTGTTTCTAAGAAATTCATCCTTATTCTACTGTTTCAACAAAACCTGATTTGGCCACTAAAAATATAATCTTATTTTTTTAGATTTGACTGAATTTGAATTCCTTAAAAATAGTCACAATTCTGCAAAGTTGTAACTCTTCACCTGAAACTTGCTGTATTGGTTTGTTTTACTTTAATTTTGAAATTTCTTCTAACTGGAGTTTCTGAAACATTATCTAATGCCGTTTTGTTTTAGGTGGCTTTTTTGTGTGTTTTTTTGTTTGTTTGTTTGTTTGTTTTAATTGGTATCTGGACACTTTAGAAAAGATATTTGAATGTTCTGTCCTTAAACACTTGATTTAGGAAGGCTGGGAAAAACAGAAGGGGCTTTTTGATTGCAATTCAGTGTGCACAAAAATAGTATACTATCTTTGGCAATGGAGATGATTTAAGAAATTTCTGCTCCTGTTCTTGATATTGTACAATTTAGGGCAATACTTTTGGTTACAAAGCTATACTCAAAAAACACTGAAATGAATGCAGCATAGTAATTTCAAAATTTAAGCAAAATGAAGAATTTTAAATTACATTTTAAAAAGTTCTTTGGCAATATCACAGGGAACATGCACTAATTTTCTGAATTCAACCATAGGGATAAGCAACATGAATTAGGAACCCTATACTGTATATGTGAATGACAACTCTTCCTTTACTTTCATTTTTAACTATGGAAAAATTGTTATTACCTTCTTTGCCTCCTTGAGTCCTGTAATTATCTTTAAAACAATAACTGTATTATTTTTCCTTTTATTTTTGGGCCATATCAAAAACCTTATTCCTTGTTGATGTATCTTCTAAGATAAGCTAACAAAAAATGGTAAGATAATGAGTTAAAATAATCAGATTGCATCACTTAATAGGATTATGTGTACTCTTTGGTAAATTGTACTTATTTTTAGTTAAACTTAGTTTTATTCTTAGCTAATATTCAGGTTGTACTGCAGGGAACAGAAAGCATTGACTCTGCATCCTTTACACATTTCCCTTATTTATTAGATTTGACTGCATATAAAATATTTGCAATAAAAATCAGTTTCCAGGCAGGAGCATGTAGAACTCATTACAAGGAGAAAGTGTTGCAGTGTTACATGAAGGGAACTAAAGAGGACTTTGTATGAGTCGCCCCTCCCATTTTCTGCCCACGCAGGTTTCTGTGGTGGTCCTTTTTTCAGGGGAGGCTCAGACTGGATATCAATAAAATTTCCTCAGCAGCAGTGGTAAGGCACTGGAACAGGATCCCAAGGGAGTGGCCATGGCACAGAAATTCCAGAGTTCAAGAAGCATATGGACTAGCGTTCAGACATGTGGTCTGATTTTTGGATGGTACTATGCAGAGCCAGGAGTTGGAACTTATTATCCTTATGAGTCCCTTCCAACTCAGGATATTCTATGGTTCTTCCTTAGGTGGAAGGTGGTGTGCAGAATAGCAGATGGGATTGGGTAGGGGGCATGGTGCCACACAGAGCTTCTATTCCCTCTATATCCGCACAGACTTTATACTTTTCTATGCCCTCCTGCAATGACGTATGATGGCACCTGGAATATGCAAATCCTTAAAGTCCATGACAAATGTTTTCTGTGAGAGTTATTAATATATGAAGTGTTTGATTTGTAATTAAAAAAATATTTATCAACAGTAGTACAACAACAGAAAGTAATGACTGTAAGGATTCAATAAAACCAGAAAGATAGACTAGAAAAAAGTGGTAAAGAAGAAAAGTTAGAAATAAAACGACAGTGAAATAAGTCAGCAGTTGTTTGTATCTTTCAGGAAATTCTTTTTTTTTTTTTTAAATTGAATTTAAGATTAAACTGTTCCAAACAATGTGCTAGTACATTCCCTACAGAGATAAATGTTAACCATACATGAATTTTAACCCTGCAGTACATATGAAATATTTTGATTGTTACTTTTAACAGTTTTTAAAGGCATTATAAACCATCACTAGAAGGAATGATTGATGGATATCAAATGTCAATTGATATCAATGGATATCAGCCCAGGGAATAGTCTGTTCATTTCATTAGCTCTTATTCTGCACACTGACTTCCAGTAGCACTCCCTAAGGAATTAACTCTCACTAGGATTGAGGAGCATCAGAACCAGGCTCACAACAAATAAAACACTACTGTTAATAAAAACACTTTGACTAATACACACACTCTTCCGTTCTGTGCTTTTTCACTGAAGTAATGCTCAGACACAAGGATGTTATTTTACCTTGTTTGGTTCACAATATTATTGTGCATAATAATTCACAACTATTGTTTTCAAGTTAGTCATATCAAATGCTAAATGTTATTAATGTGACTGAATGTTAGTTTATGCAGCATAAATCCTGAACTGAGATATTTACCACAGCTATAAAACTCTATTATGATCGTGGCCAGGAGTGTTTACTCGTGCAACCTTTTATATACATGAACTGGGGTTTCCAGCACTGGTTGCCTTCCAGCAGTGATGATGACAGGTTATTTTTGTGCCTGCATTTTGGATGAGTGCAGAATTGAGAGTTATGGCAACTGTTAGTGACCTTGAAGTCTGTGAAAAAAAGCTAGCATATTCAGAAAAAAAAAAATCCTACCCACCTGAGAATGTGAGTGAGACAAATGGAAATTTTTAGTCTGCAGAACATTCCCTTTCCACTATAAAGGCAAACATAATTATACAAATTGTTCCAGGAAGAGCGGAGTTAATGAAATTTGGTTTAATAAGGATTCAGGTCTGTTGTCCCCTGCTGCTCCTTTCCTTCCTTCCCTGATAATAACCAAAACTCTCCTTATGGTACTCCTATTATATGAAAAAGAGCAGGTTTGGAGCTATGTGTGTGTTGAGTGGCCAACCAATACACACATGCTGATTTATCCTTCTGTTTGCTGCCAAATGGAGAGTGTAACAGCTGTGTTCTGCATGCCTCTCTTTCAACAGAGGATCTAATACAACTTTCTCTTCTGTAATCACACTATGGCTTCTTCCCCCTTTTCAAATTTGACTGAAATTGGCAAGGACAAACTTTAAAAAGTACTGTAGAGATTGGCAGATGGATGGATAGATGGCATGATGACACAAGCCTCGTTTTCTTAGCAGTGTAGATGGTATATCTGATTCAGTAATTCAGTGTTGAGGCTAATGGATTTTTTTCAAGTAGGAAAAAAATTGCATTGATTTCACTGTTCAAAATCCCCTTGGGATCATTCAGCTTATCCCATTCATTGCTTAATGCTTTACTGAAGTGTAAATATATACATTTCAGAAGGCGTCCTACATTTTATTTTAGACTGGAGACAACTGTGATTTACTCTAGCCGGATGACATTAAATTTCCTTTTCTCCTTGAGTTGTCTTGCTTAGAAGTATATCATTTTGTTTTTCTGTGTTTGGGAAAGAAGAAGGTCTAGCTTTGCCATCCATGTGCATCCTGTACTTTATATCTGTATTAGCGAGTCTAACTGTACAAACAATATTTTCCTTGCTGAATCACAAAGATTAGCTTATTCATTCGGTGCCCATTTTATTCATTAGTTTACTTTTACTGACAACAAGCACAGCCAACCTGAAAATGAACCACAGACCTGGAAATGTTTGTAAAGAAGATAGTAGCCACTTGTGTGAGTGCTGTGAGTGAGATCTCCATTGAATTTCTCATCATAGGGTGGATTCCTTTCCCTTTTGATGTCTAGATCTGGAAATATATTGCTAATTTAGTCATTCCTGTAAAGAAGCAGGGGTACTTGAAAGCAAATTTGTCCATGATAAGTTGTGTCCTGGTTCAGGTAGACAGCTCCTTGATGAATGTGATGGTTATTTCTGGCCTTAAAATCAGAGCTTCAGAAAAAAAATGAGTCCTGTCCATTTCTCAGGAAGAGGCACCTCAGCCATGGAGAGTCTTAGAACGAACTGATAAGAACAATCATACATCTGGTTGCTTGGAAAAGGGGAATACAGTTGTCACAGAATCACAGAATCACAGAATCACCCGGGTTGGAAGGGACCCCAAGGATCATGTAGTTCCAACCCCCCTGCCTAGCAGGGCCACCAAACATACACATTTAGATCAGGTTGCCCAGGACCCCGCCCAACCTGGCCTTGAACACGTCCAAGGACGGGGCATCCACAACCTCCCTGGGCAGCCCGTTCCAGGGCCTAACCACTCTCCTAGTAAAGAACTTCCCCCTAACATCCAACCTAAATCTTCCCTCCTTCAACTTAAAACCATTTCCCCTAGTCCTGCTGTTATCAGCCCTTTTGAAGAGTTTACTCCCCTCCTGGGTGTAGGTTCCCTTCAGGTATTGATAGGCTGCAATGAGGTCGCCCCGCAGCCTTCTCTTCTCCAGGCTGAACAAGCCCAACTCCCTCAGCCTGTCCTCATAGGGACATTGTCCCAAGAATAAGCTTGGGAGAATTTTTGTTTGAAAAGCTCAGTGCCATAAGGAAGAATGTATTCGATAAGCATGGCCTTGCAGAGAGATCAAATAGGCTGTGAGGGTTTGTGCATATTTGCAAGTTGTTTCTAGTTACGTTGCTGTAAATTAACCAAACAGAAACAGCTGTTCCCAAAGCAGTATTTCACACTATAATACCACTTCATATGAGATTTACTTTTGAAACACAGTGCCCTCTCAGCTCCATTAAACATGGGGCATTGTGACAAACCTGAGCAGTTCCTGTCCTGCTGCTGTACATCTCTTTCCCACTCCTGCAAGTGCCAAAAAACATGGTGGCTCCAGAGGGAAAATGTGGGGCACTGCTTCTTGGAGGGATACAATAGGAATATATGAGCAAGGCAGGAGATCATGGGGCCTTTTGGCAGCAGGCTATAGCTCACACATGAGAAGAGTAAAATCAAGCTCTTTCCACACAAAGGATTAGAGCAGAGCCCACCCACTCTGGAGTTGCTAAGAGGCCTCATGTGAGGGTCTTTGCTCTAGTGGGGGAAGGCCACAATTTTTTGAAAGGTCAGTATGGCTGAAGATTGGTCTGCGTGGACGCAAAGAAATGAACTTCAAGGCTTTTCACTTAAACTTCATATCATTCTCAAGCTTTCATCTCTATTTATTGTATTACATTCTGAATAAGAGAAAACTGGGGATTTTGGCTTCAGGAAGTCCTGAAAAGCCACCACATATTCCTAGCTACATATTCATCTTTTCAGGCAAAGAACATAGGAGCAAGTCTGCAACAGGGATTGTAGGTATTGCATGATGCACATGGATTGCTCATCTCTTAACAGTTTAATTCTGCTTTTACACTCTCAGTGATCACACTTCTAAAGCATTTTATTAAACCTTTGAATGGTCTGTGGACAACTGTCAGGGAGTAGACAACAGATTAAGAAATATTTAGGTGTTACACTGAGGATCATGGTTTAGCAGGAAATACTGTTGGTAGATGGATGGTTGGACTAGATGATGTTGGAGGTCTTTTCCAACACTGGTGATTCAGTGATTCTTTGATTATCTGGTTTGTCTGTAGACTGTGAGGTACAAGCATAGCTCAAAAATTGAGAGAGGAATTCTTAAAAAGTGAAGATCGTTTTATAAAATGGTCAGCTGGATTTCATTCTTGATCTGCTGCAAATGTTGTTCAGAAATGTGTGCAAGTCACTTAAGATCTCTGTGAATATCAGAAAAAAGAAGAGAACATTTTTTCCTTTGTTTTTGACTTTTATGGTTGTGTGAATTGTACATTTTTTTCTGGGCAAGTGCAGAGCCTTCAGTCTCCTTACAATCATTATTTGTTGATTTCTCAGGTCTAACAAATAAGCCGCTTAGAAAGTGTGAAGGTGAAAAGGAACAGAAAGAAGAGCATGACTATGAGTATGTGGATGAAAATATAGTTGAATACGTAAGGAAAGCATTTCAAGATGGCACATTTTGCCAATTGTATCCTGGGCTGCATCAGAAGAAACGTGGTCAGCAGTATGAAGGAGGTGATCCTGCCTCTCTGCTCTGCTCTGGTGAGACCTTGCCTGGAGTACCGCATCCAGATGTGGAGTCCTCAGCACAGGAGAGACAGAGATCTGTTGGAGTGCGTCCAGAGGAGTACCACAAAAATGATCCAAGGGATGGAACAACTCTCCTACGAGGACAGGCTGAGAGAGCTGGGGTTGTTCGGCGAGGAGAAGAAAAGGCTCTGGAAAGACCTGAAAATGGCCTTTCAGTATCAAAAGGGGGGCTGTAAGAAAGAAGGGGTCAGACTCTCTAGCAGGATCTATTGTGATAGGACAAGGGAAAATGGTTTCAAACTAAAAGAGGGGAGATTTATACTGAATATAAGTTAAAAATTGTACATACAATAAAGGTAGTAACGCATTGAAACAGGTATCCAGGGATGTGGTGGATGCTCTGTCCCTGGAGTTAGAATGGACTGGGCTCTGAGCACCCTGATCTTGCTGTACATGTCCCTTATAGTACTTTGCAGGGGGACCTTTAAATGTTCCTTCCAAGTCAAATGATTCTACAATTCCAAATATGGATAGCCTTTGAAGAAAGAGTGTGGTTGTACTCTATCATCACGTATTGATGCAAACAAATGTTGTCAGAGTGATTTTCATATTTTCCAGTAACCACTATCCTTCAAAATGAGAAAAAGTTTTCTCTGAGAGCTACCATCATTGATTGTTGCATATGTTCTGTGAAGAACGTGGGAAAGGCACACCTGAGTTAGACACAATTACTTGTGACCCAATGTTGCTCTTAGTGATGCCACTTTGTCAAAGTGGTATCTCTAGTTGTTCTGGTAATATAAGTGCATAGGTGGAGCTAAAACCTTAATTAGACCAACAACACAAAAATACGTGAAAGCACAGAGAGAACACCTTTGTATCTGAAAGCTTGTCTAATTTTTCTGATTTATGCCAGTTCGGTGTAACTGCAATCATTGTTCCTTTTTTAGAAGTGTGCACCTTCTAGTCAATAATTAAGATCTGTCTCTTAAAAAGCTTTGAGAAAATTATTTGTGTTTCTACTGATTTGTTGTATTTCTGCTTTGGCAGCCTTCAGAAAATTTAAAGTACTGGTGAAGAGGACCTTTGCTTCTAAAAACTTTAAGTATCATTTCCAGCCAAACACAGATCAAATTTTTTCCTGGATACGAATGAAACTGCATAGTACCAACGTATTTTACTCATACCTGAACCTTCTATTAACTTTTCTTGACTTAGCTGAATTGCTTTCTTATCAAGAAAAAAACCAGGAATCTCAGAAATAAACTTGACATGTGTTTCAATTATTTAGATTTTTTTTAATTATGAAGTGATTATTTATTCAAAATGTACTTGTTATTTCAAAATGCCATGCAACATTTCTATTGCATTTGAGTTGGGCAGTGTACTGCACCTGAAATACGCTTCTATTTTTTAATTTTTTTCAGATCCCCCAGAAACATGTAGGAAACATACATGATTGAATATATCTGTCTTCAAATATGACATAAAAGCAAACAGAAGCCCCCAGTTTTTCCATTCAGGAGTCCTCAAATAAGGGCTGGTTTCCCCGCCATCCCACACAAAATTCCCCTCTAAATTCTCCAAACCCCACACAAAACTGCCTTCTAAATAAAGAGTGAATTTTTATGAAGACATGAGATTAAAGAGGCTCCCTGGGCTCTACAGGCATCAGTAGGTGGGAGCACACCCATGAGATGCCCAGCCTCTCCTTATGCAGTAGCAGAAGTATGTTGTAGCTTCTTGTGATTTACACATAATTTTCATGCTTTCCAGGGCAATTATGATATTCACATGATGAGCTATTCTTCTGCTCACGGCCACAGAAGTTCAGAAATTACAGGAATGATTGAAAAATGAAGCGAAGTAGTCTGCTTCACAAACTAGCATTTAGAATTTCTATCTGACTTCCACACTCGCACTTGTGAGCATTTTAAGAAATGTGGATTTGATGTAGGCATACGATGTTAACCATTAATTTGGGAAAATGCCACATAAAACTTGCCAGGTAAAGTGATTTATGAAGCTTAAAAGTCAGTTTTTGAGCATGTATGCTACACTGCTGCTTAAAGGAGGTATTAAAAATAACCAAATAAGTTTTAAGTTTACTTGTAGGAAACTAATGCATATCTTGCATCTCTGTCAAATGCCTAACATCTGAGATTGTCAGTTCTGCTTAAGGAACTCTGCAGTCAACCATTTCCAACCCTGATCCCACCCTTTTACAGGGCATTTATGCTGTTCATTAGTATACTCCTTTAAAATTTTTGTTATATATGAGCTATCAAAACGAAATCCATTGATTCAAATTGTTGCAGAAAATAGTTTTTAGGAAAAAGAGTTTTAAAGAAATACAAAAGCAATCCTCAGTAGTCAGGCATGCTATGAGAAAACCAGTATTCATTATTTGTAGTTTTTCATCAGTGCCAGAAAAAAATCTTTCTACAGGCCAAAGTGAGCTAGAATGGCTTTAGTAATAGCTAGCCCTCACTCAAAACAAAAGGGAGTAAGAAAGAAGGAGATTTGCCTCGGGTCATTGCTATGATAATTTTGATAGAATAAATGTGTCCAGGGGGTCAATGATGTTAACATGACCTCATCACTCCAGAGCAGCAAGCAATCAAGCAAGGGACTTGACTACACATGTCTTAGTTTGCTATAGCAACAGCCATTAACTGTTTCAGGATGTTGCTTTCTGGATTTGAACTTCAAATGAGTACTGCTAAAGGAATAACTGCAATTGGCTAAGTTTGGGCGTTTATTCAATGGGGAACAAAAAATAGAAAAGAGAAAGAAAATGCTGCACAGGATAAACAATCTACAGATCTTTGTTTTCTTCCTGCCATAAACTAAACATTTTAGGTGGCTTTGTTTGAACAAATTTATTATTATTATCATTACTATAATTATTATTGTTTTAAATTTGTGCTTTTTTAAAAAGAAATTGTATGAGTGTCAACAGTTTACAGGCTGGTTCGGCTGAGTTCTGTGACTGGTGGGGCAGAGGAATTTCACAAAATCCACGCCTCCGGAAAAAAAGGGAACAGGGGACCCCAAAATAATTAAAAACAGTGGCAACGATCTGAAGAGAAACAAACTAATTTACTAAATATGGTATCAGAATGCAAGATAACATACCGTAATAAAATATAATTAGAATTGAAGCTATCAAATATCAAATGTAATGAGAGAGAGAATGTCCGAAAGGTGGATAGGCCTCACCATAACGCAGAGGTGAGATGTGCAATCCAGTTGAGCAGCAGGGAGACAGGAGGAGAGCTGACGAAGAGAGCCGACGAAAAAGAGCATCAGGTGACCTTGCCAGGAGCTTTATCTCCTCTCTGTGACCGCAAAGTCCCCTGGGGAATGTAGTTCTCCTCCAGACAGGCACCTGGAATTTGAGCATTAACAGTTAAACTCCCAGTGCGCTACATGATGTTATGATGTGGAATACTGATAATCAAAATCATAAAACCATGATTTTCCACCCCTTATTCTACATCACTACATCATGCTTAATATATACAAACAAACAATAATTACCAAACATTAAACACATGCACACACAAAACTATATATATACATGGAATTACTGACTGCACTCCCCCAACATCAAATTCCCTTGTGTACACACTGAATATCCCCATTTCTATGCATCACCCACCAAATGGACCTAGGTCCCCGTGCAAAAACAGTTCCACGAAGAGGTTTGCACTTCCCGGAAGTTGGAAAGACCCAAGCCACTTTTCCCAACATGCTCTTTACATGTGCTACAGGGATCTTATCTCCTTTGACAGTATGTAGGGAGCTAGCAGGACCATCGCGATTGATCAGTCCTCTAGTATTGACCAACCAGGTGGCTTCTGCCAAATGCTTCTCCCAATGCCTAAATGTTCCACCACCCATTGCTTTTAACATGGTTTTTAGCAGCCCATTGTAGCATTCAGTTTTACCAGAACTGGTGCATGATAGGGGATATGATATATCCACTTGATGCCATGATCTTTGGCCCAAGTATTCACAAGAGAATTTTTGAAAAGAGTCCCATTATCTGACTCAATTCTTTCTGGAGTGCCATGTCACCACAGGACTTGTTTCTCAAGCCCTAATATGGTGTTTCGGGCGGTAGCATGGGGTACTGCAAATGTTTCAAGCCACCCAGTGGTTGCCTCCACCACGGTAAGCACATAACGCTTACCATTGCGAGATTGTGGCAAGGTGATATAATCAACCTGCCTCACCTCCCTATAATTATACTTTTGCCATCACCCTTCCCTCCAGAGAGGTTTCAGCCTCTTGGCTTGTTTAACTGTGGCGCATGTGTCACAGTCATGAATAACCTGTGCAATAGCATTCATAGTTAAGTCCACCTCTCGGTCTCTAGCCCATCTGTATGTTGCATCTTTTCCTTGATGGCCCGAGATCTCATGGGCCCACCGAGCTAGAAATAATTCAGCCTTGTTCTGCCAGTCCAGGTCTATTTGAGCCACCTTAATTTTGGCAGCTCGATCTACCTGATGGTTATTTTGCTGTTCTTCAGTAGCCCGACTCTTGGGCACATGAACATCTACATTCTATGACTCTATGATTCTATGATTCTACATGGCACACCTTTACAACTATATTCTTTATTCGGGCAACAATACCTTTCCACAGTTCAGCAGCCCAAATAGGTTTACCCCTTCTTTGCCAGCTGTTCTATTCCCAGTGCTGTAACCACCCCCATAATGCATTTGCTACCATCCATGAGTCAGTGTAAAGATAAAGCATTGGCCACCTCTCCCATTCAGGAACATCTAAGGCCAGTTGGACAGCTTTTACCTCTGCAAATTGGCTTGATTCTCCTTTCCCTTCAGTGGCCTCTGCAACTTGTCGTGTGGGGCTCCATCTGCAAACAGGTTTAAAAGAGAAAGCGGAATCTTTTTTTTTCCCTCTCTTTACAGAAGCAAGATAGCAGTGCTCAAAGTTTACAAATATCCCAGAATATTGGCAGTCCACCTGGACTTTCAAGCTCAAGTTTTCAGTGAGCACCTGTGAAAGTGATAAACTTTCCCAACAAAGCTCCCCAAGAGCAGAGAGATTCGTTTTAAAGCTAAAAAGCAGCTTCTGCCCACATTGTCCATCAAGAATGTCAATGGTTTAAGGGCTGGTTTGGCCCAGTTCCGTGACTAGGGATTTTGCAAAATCCGTGTCTCTGGAAAAGGGAACAGGGGACCCCAAAATAATTAAAAACGCC